ACCGGGGTGCTCAATTAGTACGATATTGTCCGCTTTGGGCCAAGCCCGCACGGTTTTACTTTTGGGTGTCCTCCCCAAAAGGCCTCGTACTAATGAGCTTGGTGGACACTTATATACAAGGATTCCTTTCCTTGTACAACCGATGTGGTACTTGGATGGTCCCATAACAATCCTCCCCTCAAGAAAAGGACCACGAACATCGTGTCCTCACCTCAGCGATTATCTTGATCCGCCAGACACCTTGTATCGATGGGCTTCTCGGTACAAGGATTTTCCCAGACGCGGAACTCTCCTAGATCCACCAAACAGACGTGGATCGCAAATCCCGAGGCCACCAAACTGACGTCCACCGCCCCAGATCCGCCGAACCAGGCTCTGATACCACTTGTCGAAACCGGGGTGCTCAATTAGTACGATATTGTTCGCTTTGGGCCAAGCCCGCACTGTTTTACTCTTGGGTGTCCTCCCCAAAAGGCCTCGTACTAATGAGCTTGGTGGACACTTATATACAAGGATTCCTTTCCTTGTACAACCGATGTGGTACTTGGATTGTCCCATAACAAAAGAGTTCCTCACCGCACTCTTAGTAGCACCGACAGGAAGCTCTAATCACACATACATCACCCATCAATTGGTGGGGAGGAGCTTTACCTATAGTTATGATAGCTTAGCACATAAGCTATATATGGATTCCCCCATTCCACATGAGAGGATCTCTCTTTGATGCTAGTCTAGGCTATTGGGAGTCAGCATAAGAGCAAGGCATCTTCACAGCTTTGTGGAAGATAAGTACAAAGAGCTCAAGGGAAAAGTTTTCATCAGGTTATGCTAGACCTACAACCATTCGCCTACCATTTTTTAGGCTTGTGCACTACTTTGGCCGAACTAGTTTTCACATGAGGCAAAGAGGTGATGCAGGCAAGGTCACCACTAGTGAAATGAAACTTTATCATGCATTTGCGTATGATTGGTGGCTATGTCCAGCTTGGCTAGTAGTGGACTATCTAAAGCGGTCCACCTCCATCTCTTCTCATCGAGTACTTCGATGACCATAGATATGAGTTTGGATTTTCTCTCTGGGTTAACATGGCCACACATAGGCATATTTGTAGACAATAAGATTTCGTCTTCGGAGTAGAAATGATGACTTAAGTTGGAGTAGACCTCTCAAGGGATGATAGACCTAGCCATGCTACTTGGTCAAAGAAAGGGATGCCAGTTGTGAACCTTTTGAAGATTCATGAGCATTATATATATGAAGCTGGCTTACCTTCCTCAACACCGCCATCGCAGTCTTATGACTTTGGAGCTGAAATAGCATCATTTAGAGAAGTCGTGTAGAGACAAGAGGTGAACTTTCTCATGTACTAGTCTAGCAATGAGCAAAATTGGGATGCCTTCGAGAAAAATCATAGATAGAACTAGAGAAGACTCGAGCTTGGAGACAACAGACTGAGGCACCTATCAATGGAGTTGGTGAGAAGTTTGAAAAAACTTCTTCTCAAGGCAAGGATCAGGAGATGGTGGCCATCAGTAGGAGTATATACCTATTTGTGGAATATGTCTATGTTCGTCTGTTTTTTTTTTAATTTGGATACTAATATGGATCATAAACTTTAGCTTTTATACAATTTTCTATTTTTTTGTTTGTTTTGAATTATTATGTCGAGTCTTCCTATGCAATCGAGGAGATAACACTAGTTATTCTCCATTAATCATTCAGAATTAGTACGACAAATGAGGTAATCCGTTTTAACCTTTTTCATTGCTCACAATTATTTAGTCCATTGAGCACAATGCCAATTTTAAATTGTGGGGTGGAATTGTGTGTTATGTGCTACTTCATTATGCTTTCCAATGTGGTGTAAGCCAAATGTGTGAGGCATCTTTCCATTGCGAAAAAATCCGGTTTTGAAATAGACACTAGTAACTGTTCAGTGACCCTCTTTGAAGTTGGTTTCTCTCTAGTACAAGTAAAATTTACCCCTGTTGAATTGATAGTCAACTTGAGGATGTTGATAACTCGATATTTGGACATGCTTTTGCCCACCATTATTACACTGTATGAGGCTTGATTATCATGTTTTAAGTCGATTTCAGGCTAGGTTGTTCTTCTATGGTGTATTTCAGGTCTTGGATCCACTATGCAAGCTTGGGAGAGAGTTTTGGGTCAAAAGCGTGGAGTGGATAACTAGGGGAGCTCGAGGACAAAAATACCTTGCCTTACCACAATTTCCTCGACCGAGGAAATGGCATCACAACTCGAGGAAGTCGTCCAGGGGGACCCCTAGGTGAGATCCTTAAATCCTTGATCGGGGATTCGAACATGAGGTCGGGGATTCGAACACGGGACTGTAAGTGGCTGCGCAACATTTTGGGAAAACCCAACCTGGCATCAAGACACCTGACTTGATAATCAGGCCGGGGATGCAAAACACGAACTGTTTAGAGCCAAATGCAGGTTTTGGAAGGCCATTCGAGTTTGGAAGTAGAAAATAGAGGTTTAGAGAGAGAAAGTGATGAACATAGACCCTTGAGTGCACTTTATCAAGTTTTCCCATCATTGGAGCTCAATTCAAGTCTCGAGGAGTGACGATTGACGACCCAGAGCAAATTTCTTCCGTCTACATGATGATTTCTACATCCGGCATAGCTTTCCTCTCTCTCTCTCTCTCTCTCTCTATATATATATATATATATATATATATATTGAATAATCTCCTCTATCACTTGGGTATGTAAGAACCCTAGATTGTATTTTATGAATAGTTTATGAACCCTTTGCCATGAATGATTGATTGATTTATATCCAATTGAAGTATTTTATTCAGAATTACTTGAGTCTTTATCAAATTCTAATGATTACTGCTTTGACCTAAAAAGATAATCTCTTCATATGTCAATAGAGCATCTTGAATTAGAAGTAGTGAATCGACGACTTTAGTCGAGAAGTCGATTCACTGCTCTATACTCGTTTTGAACCCAGTAGAGGAAGTTTGAATCTTATTGCCTTTGTTAGTCTATGCTATTGGAGGATAGTCGCCGTCGGGTATTCAAACTGAGAGGGTCTGGAGCACTATAGTCAAGACTCCAGACTGTTAAGAACTTTCCGCAGTTTAAACATCAATCGACTTGACTTAGGTGAATTACAACTCGGATTAATTGCGATCTAGGGGGAATCATACCTGAGTGAGCCTTCTTAATCTGAATACAACTGTTTCCTACTTTCTGTTTATTTTGCTTTTGAACACTTCACTCAACTTTTCTCTCTAGATAATAGATAATCATGGAGTAGGCAGTACATTTAGGCCCCAGGTTGTTAAGTTAAACTAATCCATTATACTGCATTTCCATTCTACAAATACACTTGGTCATAATTTGGTGTTGTGTTTTAGCAAGTCAGATGTGTTTTTAAGGACACAGATAAAGCTTCTTACACCTCTTAATTTCATTGAGCATCCACACGAATTGAGGTACAGAAGTACTCTGACAATGAGAGAGATAGTTCCAATATCAACTTCAACAAACTCAACATGATAATATTGGCTACATCACATGCTTGTCCAATGTCTCCATCAGTACCTCCAATAGCCCATCATAACGAACCTTCTCCAAATCATTACATGTTTTAATAGCTCACATCCTCCATCCTGCATTTTGCGAAACCCAACGAACCTGATTTGTGACAGTATTATTGTATCGTCGACCTTGTTGGTTTCTTATTACATTGTCCACAATCATGACAATCTTCTAATAAAATTAAGCTTTATGGTGTTGTCGGGGGATATTGAGATGAACAAACTGCATATGAACTACCTATTTTCATGTACGCCACAAAAATTCCCACTATACTTCTGTAAACACTATGTTCGAGTGAGAGCTTAGCATCCATAGGAAGGGCGTAGTCAATGAGATGTCGTCATCATTAATAGTTTTATCCTTCTTCTCTTTTATGTATAATTAGTTTGAATCCATTTTGTAGGAATTTGAACTCGTTATAACATGACCATCTTACTCCTTGATTTTGTATGATGTTTGTCATTGGATGCTTTAGAATTTCGATGCCTATGCTATGCTTTGCTTATGTAAATGTATTTGATGCGTATGTGATCTAGTGCTTTAATTTTTATGATTAATTCGTATGATTCCATTGTATAATACTATATGCACTATTTATAATATCAGCTAGGATGGTATGAAACTACTTTCTTGTGATATCTCATTTCTCTATACGTGTATAGGAGGATTGATCAGCCACTCATGCATGTGTAGGACCAATACTTGATTGTTAGATCATCGATGCTATAGACCATATGTTATGGCTCAAGAGACCCACAGTTAACTATGTTCTATCCATACTTTTCTATTCTTCATTAGTTGGTTGATGACATGAAGCGAAAGCACACATTATCTAATTAGTGTTCCTCGCTCATGTGGGGAAAGCTCGATTAGGAATGCTCTAGTAGAAGGGATAGAGTTGTATAATAAATTATGCATTAAGGCATGAGATGAATGAGAATTAAGAAGCATAATTATGTCGAGTAAACTTCCTATTCAATTATGTATTTTTAGTTTTATGCTTTACTTTATCTTGTCATATTACTCTAAAATCACCTAAATATCTAATTTTATTGCTTTGTGTCAAGCATGAGTATATTCATTGGCATGGTTTCAATCAACTTCACTATTTTCTTTTTTTTATTGGAGAGAAACCATGAAACTGAAACAAAACAAAAAAAAAATTTCATGAAAACGAAATATATTTAGTTCGGTTTGATTTGGTCACAATAATACATGGTTATATTTGGTGCACTTTGGACTAAATTGTTGTCGCCCTAATAAAAAACCACCAACAAATGAACAAATTCCACTTCCCTAACTAAGTAAAATGTCTATAAGTAACTTAAAAACATAAATTTATACTTAATCATATTAAATGATGCGCGTCTAATAATCGATACAATATTAGTTTTAACGAAACCATGAAACTTAAACAACCACTAGATTGTAATGGCCATGGCACGAAGATGATATCTCCTATGTATGGTTGGAAGTGCACACTCATTCATGTCCAAATCCTTAGTCTTGATTCCATCAGGAAGTGTCCAATCAAATCTCCCCACCAGATTCGCCACCACGAGCTCGTTGATCGCTAGAGCGAAAGCCCTGCCAGGACATCCCCTCCTTCCAGCACCAAATGGGATCACGTCGAAATCTTGACCGCGGTCCAAGCAACCATTCGTAAACCTCTCCGGTCGAAATTCCTCCGGTTCGTCCCAACTTCGAGGATCCCTGCCGATGGCCCAAGCATTCGTGAAAACCAAGGTACCAGCTTCTAACTCGTACCCCATGATGGTGGAGTCTTCGATCAGTTCTCGAGGACCGAGCAACGGAACTGGAGGGTGCAAACGAAGTGTCTCCAACATGACTTGTTTCAGATAGGTCATTTGATCCAAATCAGAATCTGAAATCTCCAACTTCCCTTTGGTGATTGTTCTGACCTCGTGTTGGAGCTTCTTCATGACCCGTGGATGCTTTAGAAGCTCTGCCATTACCCATTCCAGTAGCGTGGCACTTGTGTCAGTTCCACCGACCAACATGTCCTATTTCGAAGAAAGTCATACAAACAAGTAAAAATGCATCAGCATATAATTAAGAAAAAACCATGCTATCTTCATTCTAATTTATGCTATATATGCTTTAAGACACAAATTAAACCTAAGTATCGTTTTCAGTTTTTCTAATTTTACATGTGAAAAAATCAAGACTGAAAACATGTTTTGTTTCTGTTCTCATAGGTTGTTATGGCAATAGGAGTTGGCAGCACCACATAAATTAGCGGAAGACGAGTGAAACTAATTTTAAGTAGCTTCTTTATTGTTTTCAAAAGTTGTCTCTTGTGTGATCCTATCAATTGTTGTAATAATTTCATTTAAAGGAGTCTTAAGATTAAATCTCACTAAACACACTTTGTACTGGTTTCCCCTCCTTTTTGCATAACTCATCCTCTAATTCTTATTAGCAATATTATTTTCATATCTTTCACTCCCTCAATTTTCACATAACTCGTCATGCCATACTATTTCTCCGGTTATTTGTCTATATTTGTCTTAATCTCAACATTCATACCAAACAGAACCTCATGATACGTACCAAACTAAATACGTAAATTTGACACAAATCCAATAATTTCTTAGAATTGCTAACCAAAAGTGTTTTTATTTTTCAAGTTCATAATGTTGTAGTTGTACCCGTCTGTTGTCACAACAATACCGCAACCAAAAATCGCAATAAAACTATACTAAATGGACTAACTATGTATAATGAGAAAGGGAGGTAATGTATCTCATCATACCATGAGAAGAGCCTTGATGTTGTCTCTACCAAGGAAATGACTCGTCGTCTTCCCGTCCCTCTGCGCTTCAAGCAAAACATCCACAAAACTTTGACAGCCTTCTTCTACCGATCCGTTTGACCTATCTTTGCTGCGATCTCCTGCGTTATCAATCCAACCCTCATGCTCCACGAGTATGCTCTCCAACATCTCATCGAACTCCTTAAACGTCTTATCCACCCTCCGGTCCACCCCAACCAGCCGGTTCACCCAACCCAACGACGGAATAAAATCACCAACGAAAAACCCTCCCAGCAGCTTCATCAGCTCCTCCAGCAACACCTTGAACCGGCCCGCCACGTCCGGGTCGGACGTCATCTTGTCCCCGAACGACACCCGGCAGATGACGTCGTTGGAGAGACACGTGGCCACGTCGCTCAGATCCACCGCCACGCCCCGCCGCGACGCGTCCGCGATCCTCTCCACCATCAGCTCGGTCTCCCGGATCCGGACGGGCGCGAAGGAGTGGACCTTCTTGTTGCTGAGCAGGTGGAGCACGCACGTGGCGCGCGCGTGGCGCCAGTACTCCCCGTGCGGCGCGGAGGCGACGGTCTTGGCGTCGTAGAAGAGCCTCTCGAAGGTCCGGATTCGCATCCTGGTGGAGACGAGGAGGTCGTGGCTCTTGAACAGCTCGCGGGCGGCGCCGGCGGTGGAGACGAGGAGCGCCGGCTTGCTGCCCAGGCGGAGCAGCATCACCGGGGCGGCGTAACGCTGGGCCAAGGCGGCGAAGGTTCGGTGCGGGTAGAGGCCGACTTGGTGGAGGTTTCCGATCACCGGGAGCGCTGGAGGCGACGGAGGAAGCCGTGGCGGGTTGTCGGGGCTGGGGGAACGGCGCCGTTTTAGGAGGAGGAGGAGGTAGTATGTGGAGAGGATCAAGACGGACGGCAGAATTAATAATGAGTAATGGAGAGGACCCATGAAATTGCTGAACATTTTCACTTCCTATGATGAGGTTAAAACCAGCGACGGATGATATAGTAATCGATTTGCCGTTTCAGATGCTGCTTTTTTAACTTTTTTTTTCTCAACATCGCCGGTCGCATAATGTTTGGCCAGCATTGCGTGATTCTGGGATTTCTTTCTTTGTCCTGTCTAATCATCGTTAGAAATTCATATTTCAACCATGAGACCGTGGAGACTGTAAGTAAGCACAATATTCCAGATTTTGTCAACATATATATCAATAATAACAAAAACGATGATCAATGACACTAACTTTTTATAGCGTATGTTTCATTTGTGTCCAAAGATATGTCAATGCGGTAACCAAAAGAACGAAAATACAAGGTTTCTAACTACACGTGGTAATCCGTACGCAATCAGATTACAGATGAAAGAGGCTTATTTGTCACTGCCATGGGCAGCTCTGATGCCACTTGTCATAATGGGGCTGCTCATTAGTACGATATTGTCCGCTTTGGGCCAAGCCCGCACGGTTTTATTCTTGGGTGTCCTCCCCAAAATGCCTCGTACTAATGAGCTTGGTGGACACTAATATACAAGGGTTTCTTCCCTTGTATTACCGATGTGGTACTTGGATTGTCTCGTAACAATCCTCCCCTAGACAAGGACCACGAACTTCGTGTCCTCACCTCAGCGATTATCTTGATCCGCCAGACGCCTTGTATCGATGAGCTTCTCGGTACAAGGGACTTTTTACCAAACGCAGAACTCTCTTTGATCCGCCAAGCCCAAACGTGGATCTCTCCTTGATCCACCAAACCAGACGTGGATCTCTTTTGACCCGTCAAACAAACACAGATCTCAAATCCCGAGGTCACCGAATGAGGGCCCACCAAACTGACGTCCACCGCCCCATACCGAACCAAGCTCTGATACCACTTGTCACAAATCGAGCTACTCCATTAGTACGATATTGTCCGCTTTTGGCCAAGCCCGCACGATTTCTCTTGGGTGTCCTCCCCAAAAAGCCTCGTACTAATTGGGCTAGGTGGACACTTATATACAAGGGTTCTTTCCCTTGTATTTCTGATTTGGTACTTGGATTGTCCCATAACATCTCCAAATAGCAAAAGGCACAATACTAGATAGATTGACAAAAATTCTTCCAACACGACCTGAATTATGCTCAAAACACTATTAATACGTACTACGATCCCCTTGCCTCAGATTAATGTGCCTAATTTTGAGGCCAAAAGTTCAACGATCCATATGGTTCAGAATGTTGAACACTTTGAGGGCCGTGATAATGAGAATATGATCGAATACATCAAAACATTCATAGAAGTATGTGATTCTGCATAGCATCCAGGTATAGAGCCTGACGCAATAAGGCTACTTACGTCTCTTTCCTTTCTTCATATGGGGAAAGCTAAGAGCTGGCTATAGCACGAACCACTAGGATCTTTCTGAACAAGGGCGACACTGGTTCAAGTGTTTATCAAAGAGTTCTTCCCAGCATCAAGAACCAACAAATTAAGGGACCAAATTGCTAGATTTCAGTTACGGGCGCATGACTCGTTGTACGAGGGGCGGGAGTGCTTGCAGGAGCTACTTCATTCTTGCCTTCATCATGGGTTTGCACAAGAACAAGTAGCCGACATCTTTGGCGAAGGCCTTGCCTAAATATCATGGTGATGGTAAATCAGACAACCGAAATGTCACTCAAAAGTCCTCTCCCAAAGCGCTCGAGCATTACGCGTCGATAGATATGCAAAGTCTCGAAACTGGTCGAGATGGATTACTCTAGCGACCGTGGAAATGACACAACAATCCAGTGACCTCTTCACCATTATTGCTGAACTAATTGCAACAGTAGCTAACAATTTGACACAAAACTCACCCTTGACACATGTCTTAATTTGTTTGTGAACGTTGCGGCGAAGACGATCACGACAAACACAACTGCGGAGCTGAGATGATTGTTGTTTGTGATGCGATTAGATGGTTTTGTCATGTTGGATTGCGGGACGTGGTGATTCGAGGGGACGCGAAGATATTTCTGGGGAAGGTCTCAGTGGCAGAGATCATCGTGGTGGGGCCATCTTGGAGGAGGTTACTTTGCTAAGGGGGTATGTCCAAGTTTTGGATTTTGATTTGTGGGTAGGTGGAACAATAGGATGACCCATTTGGTAGCTAAATATGTCCTTTCTATGTTGCCTAAGGGTGTGAGTGGGTTTAACTTTTGTGGTAATTCCCGCTCCCTCAATTCCAATTAGCTTATGACAAAAAAAATGGCCCTTATTATTAAATAAATACCACTCCCTCAATTGAACCACCATTTTATAATAATATTTTATCTAAACGCTATGAAATGACCGAACACTCACCTTAGCTATAGGATCCTCTCCCCTACTCCGACATAGAGCTCGTCAACTTTCTATGTCGATAATTGCTCGTCAACTTTCTATGTCGATAATTTTAGCATAGGTTAACCATACGTGGGAAAGAACATTCTCACCTTGACGTAAGGAGGACCAACTTCACTAGTTGGTTACGGTCGCATTAGCTTTGTGTCTTTGAACATTCCCTCTTAGTTTGTGATCTATTGACAAAAAAAAGACCATAAGCCACAACCATCCTTACCTTCAATTTCTCACCCAAAATCATTGGTTCCCCACCCAGTCTTCAACAATGAAGGTGCAGTTATAACATATCATATATGCATGTAAGAGAGTACTGTTATAAGATTAATAATTAACTTTCTCTTACCATTCGAGTTATTGGTATCCATTTGATTTATAACATGATAGTAGAGCTAGTTTGATCAAATAATTGTGTTTCAAATCTTCACGACCCACATATTAACAATCTATTTAAGTATGAATGGCCGGTAAGTACATGTTTTGTAGTAGTGGTAGTTTTTTTTTTGTACAGTTCTATGACTAAAACTCCAAATAAACTACTATAGCTCATTGCTAACATGACGTCAATGACAATCCCTGTAACATTAGCGCGCAGTATCTGGTCCGGCAATTTTTCTTTCATTTTGTCGTGAAAGAAAAACAAAAGTTCTCATGCGCCTAATCATCATCTTCATTGATGCAAAGGTAACATTCACAGCCTTTCAAATCTCCTAAGTTTGACCAACAAACGATTAACTCTTATTAAATTCCAAAAGGGCTAAATTACACGTTTGGTCACTCAAATTACATAAATATTTCACGTTTTCCATTCAAATTACTTTTCTTTCTTATTCAGCACTAACTTTTCAAAAAATTTCACCGTTAGTCACCGGCCGTTAGTTTCCGTCAGACTCCGTTAACCCGTCAATTTTTTGATGAAGTGGCAAACAGAATTGTTGAATTGGCTATCAAGTTTATGAGTCATGCAATTTGACCGTAGGCCATCTTGGTGACGTGGTGTCTGACCTCTCTATAGGACAAGGTCTCGCCCACATCTGAGTCGACGAGGGTGGCGAAATCGAGAGATGAGGTGACGCCAGCGGGGCTAAAGAGGAAGGAGGTAAGTGAGAGGTCTGGGTCAGTCGGGAAATGACTGGAGTTCTAGGAGAGGAGTAGATCTGAGTGGCGGCGCAGGGGCTGATGAGATTGTTTAGGAGGACGAGTGAGATAAAGTGAAGGGGTAGAGCAAGCGATGGACGATGGTGCGGTGGCTTTTAGAGACGATTTCTAAACGACGGCCACAATTGCTTCTACAGCGAAAGCATTACCACCCTTTGAACTATCTGGTCCACTTCCTGTTACTACTGTGAAGCGGGAATCTCTTCGACTAAATAAAGTCACCTTATGCCATTTTGCTCTTTCCGACCATGGTTTCATGTCATCTGTAATCTTCTTTGGGATGTAGATTCAAGCATTCAGCATCTGATATGCTGCTTGGTAGCGTTCAACGAACCATGTCACCGTACGAAAGAAGGTATGCAAGACTATAGATGAGATAGGCATTGCACGAAGACCAACATACAAACCACTGAGGCACTCACCCATGTTCTTTGTTGTTATTCCATACCTATACCCTTCGTCTTGATGTAACGTCCACCTCTCAAAAGGATGAGTTTCTAGCCAAGCTGCACCTTCAGAGTGGACCTCCCTTATGCTCTTCATTTTGTCTACAAACTTTCGAGTCTGAAAAGCAATAGCTACAATAAAGCAAAATAACGTTAGTAAAGGAGTATATGCATTCAACCAATTGAGTTAATCACAACATTTTATTTGTTCTTCCCAGCGTGCCAAACTGCACGTTGTCCATAAGTTCTACCAAAGTGCTTCCCGTAATTGCTTTTGAAATGTCGTATGCACCAGCGCCACTTCCACCCTAGCTCCTCGGGCAAGTCGTAGAAAGCATGTGCATTTCCATGGTGTCGATCAGAAAGTATGGCAATGTCCTTCCGTTGAGTGACACGAGTGTATAGTTGGGGAAAAAACCATGCCCAACTTAAGTTGTTCTCCGATTCGACTATAGCAAAAGCAAGAGGGAAAAGTTGCATACTGCCATCAACACTAGTGGCAACGAGTAGAGTGCCCTTGTATTTTCCGGTCAGAAAGGTGCCATCAACTTGGATTATTGGCAGACAATGGGTGAAACCATCAATGCATGGTTTGAATGTTTAATAGACGCTTAAACACGCGTTTAGCACCCCCATAGAAATCTTCGTAACTAGGCACTAAAACAGACCCAGGATTCTTGTCCACCATTGCAAGAATCAAACGAGGCATGTTAGCAAATGACTCTTCCCAATCGCCATACACCTCTGCCATAGCTTTTTGCTTGCCATTCCATGCTTTCTTGTAACTGATGGTATAGCCATGTCGATTCTTCACTTCAGCGATGACACTCTTCACGGTGATCCCAGGTTGTGCCTCAATCAGATGTTTGATTGTTTGTGCAACCTTCCTTGCACTCAATTGTCGGTGATCTAAAGAAATTAGTGACGACCTACAAGTGTGGGTGTTGTCTGTCTTACGAATAAGCCAAGCCCCATTTCTTTTAACATATGCCACCCAAACATGCCACATGCATCCGTCGCCATGGTTCTCGCAACGAACATGAATTTGTTTAGTGTCAGAAGTGATGACACGGTATTGAAAGCTTCTTCGCATAGCAGTTTCTTTCACTGCATCGACCACCTGAGGCTTTCCTCCAAATGTTTGGCCAACCACGAATCCAGAATCAGGAGTCTAGATAGGTATAGGAGGGAGGTCAGGATCGTCGTTGTGACCATAGAGAGGATGTTTTGGCACCATCGTGTAGTGAGGTGTGTGTGTGGGGGGGGGGGGGGGGGCTCAAATTCCCCCTCATCAACTACCAGATCTTCACCATCTTAACTACTCATTGATTCTAACTCTTCATCTTCCACGTCGCTTGCCTCGCTAGTGTACAGATGACTTGGTTTATCCACATACGGATCATTGTTGATGCCAGATGCTGGTGTGGATGCTTGTCTGGGTGCCCTTATGTAATCCCATTCTTCACCCCATACTGGCCACTCCTGTCCGCCATGTTCCACCAATGAACCAGTTGCAGTTCGATCCTCGTATGTTGGCCATGGTGCATCATGCAGAACTCTGAAATCTCCTGAACTAGAAAACCCTCCCGATCCTTCACCTTATTCGGTATAACCGCCGCCACCATATTGGCCAACAACTTCTGCCTCGACATACACCTCAGCAGTTGGAAATCTGTTCTCTGCAATAAATCTCACCATCATATTAATGTCATCATCGTCAGACAGAACTGATCCTTCATATACAAGTGCAATATCCTTGTAAACCGACATACGGTAAGTCATCTTGCATACTCTTCGTCCTCCTATGCAACATCGTTCTGCACAAATATGGCTGAGTTCTTGCCAAGTAAATATGCTCTCAATCTGGACAGTACTTGATTGACCATCTTCGTAGTCAATACTATTATGAAAATGTGTAATTCGACCATTCCACCGAATCAATAAGTTGAATTTTCGAAATTTTCTACCCATTTATGCAGTTTATAGGAGCAGCTCATTACATACAGTACAAACAATACTAAATTAATCCAAAATTCTAATATGCTCATTCAAACCACGTAAACAGAACTTACATCCAAAAAATTTCTTCTTTGCTCAGCTATGGTGCTCCGGCTGCTGCAGTTTGTGTTTGGAAGAAAGAAGATAGAAAGTAAAAGAGCTGCCAGAATGTGCTAAGTGATTGCTTTTTATCCTCGTAAACTGATGCAGTGGTTCGAGGCCAAAAAACTCGAACTACAGTAGTTCGAGTCCATTAAACTCGATCAAGGGCAACCAATAATTTTACCCCTGCACTCTATTCTAGAGCATGTCGGACAGAAAGCGACTGGACAGAATGATTGAGCAGTGGTTCGAGTCTAGTGTAATCAAACTACACTAGTTCGAGTCCCTAGAACTCCATCTATGACAACAAAGAATCTTATCCCTACAACCCTATCCTGAAGCATGTTGGGGGGAAAGTGACTTTGTATAATTGACTAGTGGTTCGAGGCCATAGGAATTGATTAATGTTGTTCGAGTTTTAAGGCATCGATCTTGTGCAGATATGGATCGAGGCTTCTAAATTCTTTTTACTTGATCGAGTTTGTTGGCATCGATCTTACTGGATCGAGTTGTCCAAAGTCGATCTAGTATGATCGAGTCCTTTTTCGTCGATCTACCTTGATCGATTTTTCCAAAATCGATCTATTTTTGATCGAGTTTAAGAACTCGATGTGGTCCTAGTTCGAGTTCTTCATCGTCGAACTGGCTTGTTGTTCGAGTTTATGGGACTCGAACCCTTTGAAACTTGGGTAGTTTGGGAAAATTTTATAAATCTTATGTATTATGGGAATTATGTTTAATTTTTACTGTATTCAGGGAATTCTTCCGGAAAAAACCGAGAGGGTTATTGCTGGGTTGGGTTTTGTTTATCAGTTCTTTAGTTTTTTTGTTTTTGTTTGTTTGGTTGGGTATTATGGCTGTGGTAGACTAGGTGATTAATTGCATGACTCATCAACTTGACAGCCAATTCAACAAGTCTGTTTGTCACGTCATCGAAAAACTGACGGTGTTAATGGACTTTGACGTAGACTAACGGTGAAACGATTCGTAAAGTTAGTGACGAATAAGAAAGAAAAGTAATTTGAGTGGCAAACGTGAAAGATTTATGTAATTTGAGTGACCAAACGTATAATTTAGCCATTCCAAAAGTATTAAAACAGTGAAAGAGTCATTCAGACCTTCATCAGTACAACCACAACTTTATGCCCAAAAAGATAGACACCTTAGCACAAATACCTAAGGGACTTATTGACACAAGAAAATCGGGCCTTAAAATGGGAGAATTTATCTCATCGATGATTTCACCGTGAAAAAAAAAAAGTAAACAAGGGAGACTACCAACCAACTAGCAAACCCTTCGAAATCGTTTTTAGAGGTGTCAATTGAGCTGGTTTGGCCGGGTATGGGTTGGATTCAATCAGGTTACCGGGTAGTTGGGTTTCGGGTTTATCGTATTATGGGTTAGTAGTGTTCGAGTTCAATCGGATTGTGAGTTAGTCAGATTGCGGGTTCATCAGGTTACAGATTGATATAGTTACAGATCAATCGGGTTATGGGTGGAGCCGGTTACAGGTTGTTCGCGTCAGCACATTATATTGCTTACTCTTTTTTCATTACAACTTACCGTTTATTTCTTACATTAATTTCAATATGTTTCACACGTTTTATACAATTTATTTCTACCTCATATTCATATATTTACATATAAAAGATTTTTCCGTAGAAGTACATATAAAATTACAAAAAAATTGTCAAAACGCAACATTAATTTTGTATTCTTTGTAGTACTCTAGCAAAATAGATATACCAGTGCGATGAGACCAAGTCCAACTGCTAATTCTACGGCAAAAAAAAGACCAAGACCACCTGACTAGAAAAGCAGGCTAGCATTTAACATTTTTTGCAGCAAAAAAAAAACATATTTGACTAATCTGATTACCACTCTAATAATCCCACTACGTACTACAGGGAGTATAAAGTCGGAACAACTAGTAGAGGCGTCTTTCGATGGACCGTTAGCCCCGGAGCTTCATCAGCATCCAAACCACCCTCCCCGGCGGGCATCAACCAATCGAACCTGTGCAACATGCTGACCAGCGTTATCTCCAACGAAGTAGTTGCAAAACTAGTCCCGGGGCACCCTCTCCTCCCTGCCCCGAACGGTATCAGCTCGAAATCCTGTCCCTTGAAATCTATCTTGTTGTTCAAGAATCGCTCCGGCAGAAACTCCTCGGCATCTTGCCACCTCTTCGGATCCCTCCCAATCGCCCACGCATTTACGATCACTCTTGTCTTCTCGACAACGTCGTACCCTTGTACTTTCACATGTCGGTTCGATTCCCTTGGCACTAAGAGTGGGACTGGTGGATGCAATCTAAATGACTCTTTAATCACTGCTTTCAAGTAGTCCATTTGCTTTATCTCCCCCTCCTTCACGTACCTCTTTTCCCCGACAATTGCTCGGATCTCTTTTTGCAACTTTCTCATCACCCTCGGGTGTCTTAGTATCTCCGTCATAGCCCATTCTAATGCCGTATATGTCGTGTCCGATCCTGCCGCAAACATATCCTATTTGTATAACACAAAAACAAAATTCTAAGCTAGAACGAACGAATAAACAAACAAATAATAATAATAATAATAATAATAATACATTGCACTTTTCATTATATAGCACGACGTATACACTTGTTCATTAGTTGAAAGTTGTACCAATATATTTCATAATCGTATTAAATTTTGGGTAAATTATGGGTACCAGGACGATGGCTTTGATAGTGTCGCGATCGACAGCGAAACCAGGAGTCTCTCTCTGAAACTGAAGAAGAACATCGACGAGATCCTTCTCCTTCTCCTCCCACTCCTCCTCGCTCTTTTCTTTTATCACCGACGTTAACCTATGGTCCTCCAGAACTTGGTCGAGAAATTCATCGAACTCTCGAAAAACCTTCTCGACCTTTCGGTTCAACCCGTTGAACCGGTTGATCCAACCCAACCAAGGAATGAAATCCGCCACGTTCACCGCCCCCAAAGCAGCCCCGAACTCCTCGAGAAGCAGCTTGAAATTCTTCCCTTTCCCTTTCTCCCCATCCCCTGCAGCTTCCCCGTACTTCCTCCCCAACGCCACCCTGCAAACGATGTCGTTCGTAATCCTCGAAATCAGTTCCCCCAAATTCAGCGGCGCGCCCGCAGCGGAAACGGCGTGCTCCTCGATTCGGTCGACGAGGAGCGCCGCCTCTTGCTCGCGGATCCAGCGGAAGGACTCGACGCGCTTGGCGCTGAGAAGTCGCATGACGCAGATGCTCCTCATCTGGCGCCAGTAGTCGCCGTAGGGGGCCTGGGAGAGGTCCCTGTAGTTGTAGAGCAGGCGATTGGAGATGGCGGAGTGAGGGCGGTTGGAGAAGGCCAGGTCGTGGGTTTTCATGATCTCTTTGGCGGATTCGGGCGAGGAGACGATCAGGGTCGGGGCGGACCCGAGATGGAGGAGGAAGACTGGGCCGTGGGTCTGCGAGAGGGATTGGAGGGTGCGGTGGAGGTGGGTGCCTAATTGGTGGAGGTTCCCCAAGACAGGGAGCTTCCATGGCGAAGGGGGCAAGTTCGATTTCTTCTTCTTGTTCTTGGTTAGTGTGTCTGTAGAGAGGATGAATTTGGCGGAGATGAGGAGGAAGAGGAAGAGGAGAAGAGAAGCGAATTGCAGATCAGGGTGGGAGAAGAAATCTTGCAGGCCGTACATTTTTCTGGTCTCTGTGGGATTGCTCATTTGGTTCGGCGGTTCAGTCTCCAGTGCATTCCCTCTGCTCGTTTATATATAGAAACTGAAAGGAGTAATGGGGACTGCCGTATAGAGAGAAGGACAAACAATGCCGAGCTTCAATCATAATCGCAACGTCACCACTTATCTACAGGGGAAAAAAACAACAAATAATGATAGGAGGGTAGCGGTGGTGAGATTCATGACCTCAGTATATACGAGATGAATTGTATCTTCCCTTTCCTAGGCATGAGAAAGTGCATCTCCCATGATTGCTGAAGAAGAGCATATTATCACAAGGCCAGGTTCGTATGCTGCTGACTAAACTGCTGCTGACTAACCAGCGGTTTCATGATCCCCGCCTGTACGGCTCTGATTGTGTTCTCCTCTCCAGCAAGCTCACCAGCGGCGGAATCGCCCCCAACCTCCCGATTGTGACTTTATTCTCTTCCAATTGCGAAATCCGGAGCAGAGCTCAGGCCGAATTCTTCCTCGGCCTGGAAATAAAGGAAAGAAAATGATAAAGGAAAGAAAATAAAAAGAAAAATGGGATTTAAAATGATAAAGGAAAGAAAATGGAAATAGGTGTAAATTTAAAAAAAAAAATTGAAATTTGCTGAGTTGGCAGTGACATGGCGCGTTGACCGTTAGTCAACGCGTTTGACCGTCCAAGTTAACGGTCAAAAGTCGGATCTGGCCAAATTGTTTATTTTGATGTAAAGTTCGGGCCAAGATGTTATAGATTGAAAAGATTGGTCAGGATGTTTATTTTGGTCAAAGTTCAGACCATACAGAAATATTAACCCAATTATATAATAGTCATTCATTTCATTCCTATAAGTAAAACGGAGAAAATTGAGTGGTAATTAGCATAAACGATCACAAACATTTTCACTTACTACAAAATGGTTATAAATCTTTAATTTATAACGATACGGTAACACAAGTTTGAAATTGTATGAAATGGTCACTTCTGTTTAACTTGTGACGGTTTTGTATTAAATGCAAAGGTCTGTTACCGGATCGTTACAAATTAAATGTTTGTGACCTTTTTGAGGTCGGACCGTGTGTTCGTCGATTATATGACACTAACCACTTGAACAACATAAGAGATGTCGGGTCGGGCGTTCAATATACTTTGCTTCGCCGAATAGGAATGCCTTCTGTTTACCTTTTAATTCCTATGCCAAGAATGTAAGAATGTAGGCTGAGTTTTTTCAATTATAAAGTAGCATGTTACCCATTTGTTAGGAGTTGATTCCCTCATTGTCATGCTTTGTTTGTTTAGTATTGTTGTCCTTTATTACGATCATATCATTCAAATAAATTAACAAAGCCATCATACCTTGACTGGAGTGAATTGTAACAGTGATTGATCGTTCAAACCTTTGAACGTTGTACAAAACGGTCATCAAAAATTTCATTCGTCACGACACGGTAACAAAAGTTTGAAGTTGTATGAAATGGTCACTCTGTTTAAGTTTTGACTGTTTTGTAATAAGTACAAAGTTTTGTTACCCTATCATAACAAATTAAAAGTTTGTGACTATTTTGTACTAAGTGTAAAGATTTGTGACAGTTTATATTAATTACCAGAAAATTGAGTGATAGTTGGAGCATGGAGAAGATAATTTTTAGGTTGCATGGGTGTCTAGTACTGTTTAGTCGGACCTTGATGGTAGGGGTGGGCATCGGTTCGGTTAGAGCATACCGAGCCCGCCAACCATCCCAAAGCTTCAACCGAATTCGAACCGAAATTTATTTCGGTTCGGTCATATCGAACCGAAAATTATCTCGGTTCGGTTCGGGATCCCGACCAACCCGAACTTCTAGAGAAATCCTCTGCCCTGCTTCCCCACATCCCCTTCAATCTTTCGTCCACATCTTTCACCCTCTCTCTGCTGCTCTCTCTCTCTCTCCTAAACAAATCTCCATCCCCTTCTTTCACCCCTCCCTCTACTGCCCTGCTCTCCCTCCTTGTCCAACAAACTCTCTCCCAAACAAAAGTGTATCCCAAACAAAATTTGAATTTCATTTTCAGAGGAAAGAGATAAAAAGGGAAGTAGATATCTCAAAGGTGCGGTTTTAGAGGGAGAACGAAGGGGGGAATGCTAGATCTATTTTGCGGAGGGGGCAGAGAATCAAAATCGCCAAGGCCGAAGCTATTCGAACTCTAGTTTCCGACCTCAAGGACAGAGTCACCGCGATCCCGCCGCTAGTGAGTCTTGTGGGGAGTGGCGGATTTCATCGTTGGTGTGGGCTGCGACAAGGAGCTAGGCGGGGCTGGCTGCTGGCGCCTGGCGGCGGAGGAGGCGAGCTGGATGCAGGCTGCGGGCTGCGGTGACAACGGTTACATCGATCGTCGGAGAGTCGAGAAGATGCAGGGGAATGTTGTTGTGAGGGTGGCGATTTTCCTTCGTCTCTCTTTCTTCTCGCCATTGTGGGTGCTGCTGGGAATGGAATAGCAGATAGGGTAGAGGTTGGGCTTAGGGTTGGGGAGGTATTGGCTTCAGGAGATGAGTGGGTTGTTGAGGGTGGGCTTCGGGAGTGGTCTGGGCTGGGAGAGGTAGAGTAGGTTCAGGTTAGTTCGGCTTTTCGGTTCGGGGGTTCGGAATGCGGTTTCGGTTGGACTACCCTGGGTTCCGAAATCTGGTTATTCTGTTTCTGAATTCCGAACCGGGTTCGGTTCGGTCGAGATTCGGTGAGGTCGGGTTCGGTTCGGGTTTATCGAACCGGATGCCCACCCCTACTTGATGGACACCTCATGATCTCTTATTTTCGTGTTGGTGCAAGATGTGATCAACGAGCTTCTTCGACATTTTCTTCTTGAGCACTTCTACTATGCTATAAAGCATTGGTGCTTTAATGTACAACTTGAAGTTGTATCATAACGTTAAATGTCTAAGGTCAGGTTGTACCATAAAGAAATTTGTACCCTTATGTTATGGTAGAACTTCACAACTTAAAGTTTTACCATCAGATAAAGGTACAAGTTCAAGTTGTACCATATAAGAATTTGTACCAAAGAGTATAGGTACAATCTGAATTTGTACCATAACGTTAAAGGTACAACTTCAAGTTGTATCATAAAAGCAAAAATCTATAACATTGTGAAATTCCTCTTTCTTCTTAGCCTATACATGTTGCGAAAGTTTTTGACCCCTTGTGAACTATAAAAAAGAAAGAAACAAATCACATAGCAAGGAATTGGAATAAGGTTGAAACATGCTAACATGGAAGTGTCTCATATGCAATATATATAGGCTCACAACCAACATCTGCTATCTATTTCCCACTAAGCGTCTGAGTATTAGAGCGTTCAGCTTCATAAGCTGCAAGGATGTTTTCCTTATCTGGCAATTGACAGCATACTCTCAGGAAGGAGTCGAGAGAATTCATCTGTTACACAAAAGACAAGATTGGTTTGTCATTGATCACACTTCAATACCAATGATGAAACAATAAAGGAAGTTAAATATGAGCTAACCTTCATATATGGACATGATGGATATCCTCCATGGATGGAGCAACCCTCACACTAGCAACACCAGGTATAACAGGCAAAATGACACCCCCTAGTTGTACTGATTTTAGTCTTGGGGTGTCCCAGTTGATGTTTGTGTTATTGAGTCAGCCGAGACTAGGAAGACAATCTCAACTTTGACCTATGCTTTCCCGAAAGATAGTGTGGAGGATCCCAGTAACTGCCTGACTGCAGTAACAATAGCGGTGACCATTCCTGACTTCGTGCCTAACACGAATTGGAGGTGATCGCTCACATTTATGTCAAGAGACTCTTGGACTCTTTGCTTTATGACATCTAGTAACTGCATAGAACCCACTACCCTCATGCCTCTTCTCATTGCTTCCATCGCTAAAGAAAACATTTCTCCAGGAACCTCGAGATGAGCAATCCATAAAGCATCACCATGCATGTCATATATCTTTTGTTCAACTTCATGTCCTAATAGATGGTGGACAATGCATGATCCATCCTAGATGAAATATTTCACTATCAGAATTTTTTTCTAAACAAGATAGGAAGCCATCAAAATAGGTGAATTACCTGAAAGAAATGCAGACGAGGAAGCAGTGATCGAACAGTGTCGGCATTATGTATTGAATGCATCTCAGTAATTTCTTCATCACTCATCAAGGTCATTTGTTCAAATAGATTTGTTATGTTAGCGCCCATGTAAGAGCCAGGGTCATGCCATATCTATAAATCTGGAATTTCAGCAAAAGTATGTCCATTATAGGGACAAGGGAAAAGAAGAATGAGTTGAATGCATGACTTGCTAACATCCACCGACTGGATATCCAAGAGGTTTGATATGTAGTATTGATACTTACTTACAGAATAGTTTGAACAACGTTGGAAGAGGTACATGTTATTGTTGGCACAAGCTCGTGCGAGTAAGCTTCTGTCTCAAGCGAAGTCTTTATATAGATAACGTGCAAAGAAGGAGGAGACATTGAAGCACCCTCCATGCATATAATTCATGTAAGCATGGGTAGATGCAGCATCTGCCAACGAACATCCAATACGCTATTCAAACATTCTGTATACACCAACATGCATTGCAACAATTGGCATAAGCAAAGGAAGATCATGAAATGAGCAATAACTATGAATTGCCTACACGACACTAATACAGTGTAACGCACACAAGCAACATATTTTATATACCTCTGGGAATCCAACCTGATGAAGGATAGCCCGTACATTTTCGGACATGAAATCCACACCAAGAACGGTTATGAATTTTGCATCCAGCTTCAGCCATCTTCACAACACTATCTGCCATAACCAGAGAATCGGAGATATGGGTGTGATGCCAAATGCTTTTGTGCAGCATTAAGGACACCTTGAACTTTAGGGTCCATGTAGAAGTGAGCTACCACGCCGATTTCCTTCTCCTTTACGATATTTTCTTGAACCCTACACTCATCTAGAAAAAGATATATTGCCTACAATAAAACTAGGTTTTTTGAAACTCAGAATGAATAGACTATCCTACATGTATGTGTTCCAAGTCCCAGATGGGGTATTGATGAAATGAGAAAGGCTATCTCTAGTTTCTGGTGGGGACATCATAAAGAAGAAAGACGAATACCATGGAAAGCATGGAGGAAAGTTTGCAAACTTAAGGTAAAGGGTGGAATGGGTTTTAGGGACCTAAAGACTTTCAACCTAACTCTATTAGGAAAGAAAATCTGGAATCTCATGACCAATACAGAGTCCATAGTAGCAAGAATGTTGAAAGCAAAATACTATCCTAATACATGCATTATACATGCTAATTTGGGAGCAAACTCCAGTTACACAAGGCGTATCATACGAGCAGCTCAACCATTGGTGAAGAAGGAGGTCCTCTAGAGGATTGAAAATGGAACTCAAGTAAACATATGGGGTGACCAATGGGTTACGCGAGCATCAGAAAATGATTACAAGGTGACTTCACCAATGATGGAAACGAGAGATGCTACTATATTGACATACCTGATTGATCACGACAACAAAATGTGGAGGAGAAGCATTCTACAACACTACTTTAACCCAATTGATAGAGTCAGAATTAAAGGGATACCAATCCCTTGACAACCAGCTAAGGACAAACAGGTCTCGAATTATGAGAAGACTAGTGGGAATACAGTGAAAACAACCTATAATAAGGACACATGTAACACAAATTCAAGAGGCAATTCAAGAAGAGGGAGATGAGGAAGAAGAGATTGGCGGGGAAGTCAAAATATATGATCCAATAAATTGGAAAATATTATAGAAACTTGCCATCCCCCTAAGGTAAAGATATGTTGTGGAGATTGGCACACAGTATTCTGCAAACATAGAAGACCATAGAAGGGAGAAAGAAGGATGCAACCATTGAATGTCCATTCTGCAACTTAGAAGAGATGCAAAATCATATTTTTGAGAAATGTTGGTGGGCGATTAGGATATGGTGATTGTCTGCCTTCAACACCATTATTTGAAATGGACTTAATCTGTCGTCGGGCAGCTGGTTATGTGAGGTAATGAAAAGGGTGGATGATGAAACTATAGTGCAATTTTGAACGGTTTTATGGTCCTTGTGGAAAGAGCACGACAATCAGATGTTTAAGAATAAAAGAAGTTGGAGGAGTGGCAGATCGTTGGTAAAGCCCTAGACTACTAGGAGGAATTCAGTTCACACCATGTGAAAAGAAAGGAAGATATATCAACAGGGATTCGTACATGGGAGAAGTTGTCAGTGGGATAAGTGAAAGTAAATGTTGATGTGGTTGTTCTGGAAGGCGATGGTACATGTCTGGACATGGTTAGTGGTTACTCACCATGAAGCCGGAAACTTCCTTATGGCAGCGGTGCAACGAGAAAGATATAGGTGGTCACCAGATCTTGGTGAACTCAAGACGATAGGTTTTTCCTCCAACAATTGGAAATGCATGGCTTTCGGCTAGCCATTATCAAAACTGATTGTCTTACCATTTTTCTAAAACTCCAAAAGATGTAGTACACAATGTTGGAAGTCATGTCGTTGCTCCAAGAACTAAATGAAGAGGCTCAACGAATTGGGCCGGTTCACTAGCACTTTGCTAAGCCGAAATATAACCAGGATGCCCATTTAATGGCCCACATGAACTGTCACTTGGAAGCCCAAAGAATTTGGATTACCATACCATTTGTTTTCCCCCTACCTTATTTAGGATAAGGAGCCCATATTTACTTAATAAAATCTATATGTATTATTATAAAAAATTCTAATAAAAGATTTAGAAAGTCTAAATATTTTGAATTTTTTTTCAGAAATACCACTAAAAAGAAAAAAATTCCAAAAATACCAATACAATATTTTGGGTTCCAAGTGACAGGTTTGGAGTGCGGTTCTGAAAACCGCACTCCAAATCTGTCATTTAGAACCCAAGCGGTTTTCAAAACCGCCCCGTAACCATGCATTTTAACACTTAAAAGTGACATTCAAGTCATGATTGGATATATTCTACGTGTTTTAACACTTGAGCACGCAATAACTCGTTAGTTCATATGATTTTATTTGTGGGGTATATTATTAAGTGTAAGCATATTTAAGAGATCAATGCACTTTTAACACACATGATTTAGATGTAAGTTGCCAAAACAAGATTTAAAAAAAAAACTTAATGCGTTTGAGGGCTTGACATGGATCGCAGATTCACCAAGTTACTTCATGCGATGCGATTGGATATATTTCGAATGGTTGCCTCAACTCCAATGTCTAAGTGAGAGACGGAGTAGCTTTCTATTTGAGATACTAGATGTCGATGATTACATTCATTAGACTGACTGCACAGAATGCGACTGTGGAGAAACAATGGCATCAACCACCACAGCTTTTATAAGAGAGCATCTTTCATATATCACGGGCAGTGAACAATTCAACATCTTTTGCAACTTGACAGATGAATTGGGTATACAAGTTCATACAAGCACTCCAGGTTACATATTTACATTGGTCATCACAGGCAGAATGAGTTAGAAGTCTCTTTATAGAAGTTCTGTATACAAGTCCCCAACACCAAACGGCAAGAAGAACTCGTTTAAACTAGGGCCAGCTTCTCACCTCCTCGGATGCTCCCTCGTGAAAAACGAATGCCTCAAAGCAGCCCGAGCTGTCAACCTCTCCAAAGGATCGTACCTAAGGAGACCTTGCAATAGGTGGATAAGATCTCCAGCAGAATGATCGACGTGCTGCATTATCAAATTCTGCAGTCTAGGTAGCTTCATTACTGCCCTAACACTCTCCCTAGATGCAGCCCCTTCTGGCCAGTCCAGTTTTCCTCTTCTAACATACTTCTCAGCATGTCGACTGCAGCGGGCACAAACAATTAAGGAAACAGCACCAAAAGACTAGAGTCAGGCAACTAAATAACCATGAAAATGATGCTACATACTCTGCTCTCTTCAACATGTGCAGGGGTAAAGGACCAAGCACCCTCTCCATCATTGCAAGGTGCTCCAAATTCTCATGAGTCTGAAATAAAGCTTCACCCTGCACATCAAGAAGAAAGCAAATCACTTAACTGGAAAATGCATCAAGGGGACTCTCACTGAGAAGAAAGTTACAGAGTTGCAGAACATACTGTGCACAACTCCACTAGAATACACCCAATGCTCCAAACATCACATGGATAGCTCCAACCAAGACCTGCAAGGATTTGGGAGTTGAGAATCATAAATGAAAGAATTTGAGGTGAAGCCACAAGCAAAAAACTAAATAATAGGTACCAAGGATAACTTCTGGTGCACGGTAATGCCTGGTTGACACGATGTAGGTCTGATCCGGACGGTCATACGTTGTGCTACCAAAATCAATGACCTTGATTGCACTAGAGTTGGGGACCCTTTTGAAGTAGGAACTGTCCCTTGGGGAGCGAGATGAACCCTGCTGCACATAAAACAAAGAAATCAAGCATCTTGGAAGATAAGAAATAGTGCGAGGTAGTGAGACAGTATAAAAAGATTTACCCTGTAGTCAGGTACTTTGTCATAGTCTGATGAAACTAAGAGAATGTTTTCAGGCTTCAAATCAGTATGAATAAGCCGCAAGTCATGCATAACTGCAATAGAAGACAGCAGGACAATAGTTAAAATAGGCGCAAAACTGTGATCACCAACGTGATGCAAATCAATTGAATTTTTAAAGCTGATGCTAATGATGAAGAAGAACATCATAATCTAGAAACAGCAGGAAAGTGATATGTAATGCAGAAAAGAAACTTGCTCAAGTAACTTTTACACACATGCTACACAATCCAACAGTTGTCTGCCAATCTCACGGACAAGATCAATGGGAAATGAGCGATAATTGTTTTTGCGAAGGAAATCGTATAAGCTTGGTCCAAGCTTCTCAAAGACCTGTCGACATCATTTGCATTCACCAAACTCTTAACCCCCGAGTTATTCATAAATTGGGGAAATTAATCCATCACACTTTAGGCATATACTTACAATACAGATATGATTACGATAGTCAAACCAGTTCCGTAATTGCACACAACTGCAAGGAATAAAAAGCTTTAACCAATGACAAATATTTCATGAAACAGGCAGAGAGCCTGGTTAGACGAGCTGTAGATTACTCACCGGTGGCCACCCCTATCATTTTTACCCAGTTGCTGCAGCACATCAATTTCAATCATAGCTGCCTCGCGATATTTCTTGATACCACGAACAATTTTCACAGCAACCATTTCTTTCCTTTCCCTGTCCCAGCATTCTAGGACCTGACCAAAAGTACCTGAACAGGAGAATCAAGGACAAGCTTTAGCTGAAATATACAACTTCATGAAACAACATAGAAAACTACACCTAAGAGAGATGCTCTACCTTCACCCATTTTGCTATGGATCTTATCTGCAATAACAAAATAAGAGAAAGAAGAACAAAAAACACACCAACTCAGCACAAACACAAGAAACAAAACTTATCCTACAGTGACAAATAAGAAATCTATCCAAAATAAGATTTCCCATGCTTCATATTATGTTGAAGCACTGTCAGAAACTTCATGAGAGAAAATCCCTTAACAGGTGCAGATGGAGGAAAGTGTATTTACAGCGAGAAGTTAAATTATCTCCAATAGCAAACATGTAATGTCCATCCTTGTCATCTTCTCTCCATGGAGGAGAGCCATTTCGAGCAACATCCTTATCAAACACAGAATTATAATTGGTGGTATAATCTGGGTTTGCTCCTGAAGACGCAAAGCTTGCTACATCACCAATCTCTTGCCCACAATATATCCCTACCTGAGCCTACACACAGCCACCCATTCATCCACGCTCAACATTATCACAAACACAATATTTCACCCAATATTGTGCATAACCCTTGAACAATTCTCACCCAAAATCACATTGATTAGACAATAGATCCACAATTAAGAATACGAATAACTATCATACTGATCACGAAAAGCCGCTGAAACGAGCCAATCAATCAGATCAGAACATATAGCACAAGAACTCGATTCGATTTGAGAATCCCCGAATAGCAAGACATAAGTAAAGAGGATAACGAGGAAGAAAAAGTCAAAATATCGATCTTGGCAAAGAGAAACTAAATAGGTCTAAGATCTAACTGGAAAATTTCAGATCTAACTGAAAATTTTCAGATCTAACAGTAGCAGGAGCGAGGAAAAAGTCACTAAATCCAAAACCACAATTGTATTCTAAATTGCAAGAAAAGCATAGATTTTTAACGAGCAAATTCGATACAAGAGCTACAAACCGAAGATTACTCAATCCAAAGCGTAGAATCGAAGCGTTTCACCAGATCTAACAAAAATGAAAAAGAGAATACATGAAGGCTTAAGCTCGACAGAAGGGGAAAAATTGATACCTTAGCGATAAGAGGGACATCCCAGCCTAGACGCGCCCTCTTCCGGGGCCTCCGATCGAGATGAGTGTGCGGAAACTCGATTGCGCGTTCCATCTCCATGATCGTAAGCGCTGTAGGAGCAGATCGGGAAGCCGATGAAGGAACAGAAAGATAATTCCTGGCGAATTTCACGATAAACAAACAGAAGAACAGGAGAGATAAGGTTATGGTGTGCGGTGGTGGAGGAATTTTAGCTAACCCTAAAACGTAATATTCCCAAACAGACTTGGGTTGGGTTTAGATCCTGCCGTCCACGTGGGTGAGATATAACCATTCGATGGGGGCTAAAGACGCGTATGGAGTATAGATGTAATGGACTAATGGGTACGGTTTCTCTTTCTCCGCACTAGTTGGTCTACTTTTTTGGACGAAACCTGATTTCATTACGAAATAGAAAAGTGATACAGAGTTTGGACCGAAGTCCTGGAAGAAAGAAGTCTGGTCCAGGAAGCTCACGCACAACAAACACAAACAGCAAAAGAAAAGGGAAAAAATCTCACACAGGCCCAAAAACAAAACACTCCAGCCCACATGCAAGCCCAACAGCCAACCCAACCAGCCCACAAAAACTCAAACAGAAACCCTAAACAACAACAACACACACAAAAAAAAAAAGCACCACCCACCCCATGCCGCCTCAACACCGCCGTCGTCCACCAAACCCAGCACGCATCGACCAGAGGCAACACCGCCGTCGACACCGCCACCACCACCAACCAAGCAGATCCCATAAGACCGCCACAGCCAACCCATCCAATCACAAACAAAAATGAAAACACCCCACCACCACCAACGCAAAAGAAACAATACAACCCACACCCTCACCAACCGCCGCCGACATCACAACACCACCAACATCCAAAGAAAACCCAGGGCACCAAGAACACCAGAACGCTGACTTCATCCTTACATCCAAGCCAATTGACAGTAGAACCGCAGGCAACAAGCCAAATCCACCGAATCACTACGCCATTCTGAGTGAAGCAAGGAGGAAAGCTCAAAAAGTCAAGAAGAAGGATGTAGATTGCAAAGCAATCCCCTCTGAACACTGAAACCGACTTCAAGATCTTAGCATAGATCTGAAGTGTGGAAGAGTAACCATCTCTGAAGAGAGGTTAATGGAAAACTCCACAAAGGGAAATAACGAAGCTGGAAACTGGAAAAGTCCACAGAGGGAAAGTCAAAAGACGGAGCAAAATGAAAAGGATGAAAAAGAAAAGGGGTGGGTTGCCGCCGGTCACCCATGGGTGAAACCGGCTGCTCCCCAAGTGGAAAATGGAGATAGAGAAGAGAGAGGTGAGAGCGTTTGAAAAATGGAAAGTTAAGAGAGAGAGAGTGATTTGGATGGATAATTGAAAACTCCACTAGTTGGTCTACTGGTGTAAAAAAAAGACAATAAAATATCAGAGCCGAGTATAAAACTCTGGCCTTCAAAAATCAAAACACAATAAAATCTTATAGTATCATCGTATCAAGATATCATGATTCGACATATGATCATGTTGTATCATCGTATCACATATGTCGTGATATGATGATATAATCAGGGTTTTGCACATTGAAGTTTTGCATCGGAATCTAAGTCATAAAATACTCATTGTGTTATTGAAGAGTAAACTCAAACTCTAATTTAGTGGGTATCTCTATGGAAAATCACGCACGTAAGCGCAAATAATATCTTTTGAACACTCGTCGTCATGTATTATTTTAATCATCCAACAATAACATTCCATAGAAATAATAACATCGACAAATTATCCACACACCATACTAATTGTCATATAAAATATCATCCAACACTAAAACAATGTTGAGTTGGACGACCTCCAAATTCATTGCTAGTCCACTGAAAGCTCGTGTCTTGGCAGTTGAGTACTTTGATTTTGCTTGTTTCTCCTCTATTGCCTCTCCTCTCTCTGTTTGGCGTCTCGGAGTACTCCGGAAGAATCAAGCGTGCTCCCCCACCGTCATTCCCGCCTCTGACGTCACTCCTTCCGGAAGCTTCATCTCAATATTCGACAGCGTCTTCATCGCCGCACAAATGACAACAGAGGCTCCAGCGGGGAGGTTTACCCAGCAATCGCCAGTTTATGAATATTGGGTCTTCTGGTTACAAAGAAACGTTGCACAATTGGTCATCAACAGAGGAGCAGATCTGGATTTTGCTCTCGAGCATCTCGGTGATATCCTTCTACCTATGTTTTAATTAATTTTCAGTTAGGGTTACTGATTCTGACCACAGATCTTGACACATCCTTGATCTAAGGGTCGAAGGTTCTTTTCCTTGAGCAATGGAAATTTCAGGATGAAGAGAAGCACCATAATAACAGTTCAATTAAAGCATGCACGCCACTTAGGTAGCAAAAACCCTTTGCCTGCTCTATGAAAATACGACTAGCGAATTAGGGAAAAAACTCTTGCTCGTGAAGATTTGATAAAGGGTCATTATTTCAAAAGTTCTCTTATTTTATCCTCCATGTTGCTATAGTTCCTCTATAACACGGTTGTGGCCACTAGATGTCCCAACTCCTAAGCACTTGCATGAAAAAGTATTGATGACATGAAGAGAACTTATGGATATGGATTTTCATTAGCTTAGGAGACATTGCATGAAATTCAAGTAAGCAAGGAACAATTAGCAATCAACAATTGAAGCCGAATGCATAGTTGCTTCATTAGCAGTCTCAATCATGAAGCTACAACAATTTACTACGACAACAAGTCAGCCGTCGATATTGCAAAGAAGCAAATTGATCATGAAAGAACAAAGGACATCAAGATAAAATTTCACTTCATGCGGAACGTTGGAGCCTGGAGGCAAAAAAAAATCAAGTTTCGTTTGTTCATTGGGAATCAAAGGAACAAGTTGCATATATCTTTACAAAGCCACTATCAATAGACAACTTTCAATACTTTTAAGCATGCTTCATATGTCAAATTTAACTTGAAGACAAAGTATTGAATTGTTAAACTTAATTTAGCAACTTCTAGAATATATATGAAATAAAAAAATGAATGGATGGTAGATGGTCGGGAGGTATCAGACAAGAGTTGTCTAAAAACTCTAAGAAATAACTTTAAAAAGAAAGAAAAACAAGAATCGCAAAATTGAGGCGGTTCATTTTTCTAATTAAATTACTATAAATATTTTGGATAGTAATGTGATGGGCTATAAATAGTAAAGTAAAGGGCTATAAATAGCATGCTTGTAATGGGGTGTTAAAAAGAAACACCTTTTCTAAAAAAAATAACTAATATAATACCAATAAACAACAAATTCACTTGTTCTAACTTTATTTGCCGCCTCCACTACTAAAAAAATTCCAAGACAATTTCTTAAAAACAATATTCAAATTTTCCTTTTACATGACAAAACCGATTGCCACAAAGCGCATCAAGGAAAATTTTCACTTCACTATAAACATTGAAGGCACAAATCAAGTATTGTTGGTTCATTTTGAATCAAATGAATAAGTTGCATATATCTTTATGAAGCCACTGTCAATATACAACTTCCAGTAGTTTTAAGATATGCTCGATATGTGGAATTAAACTTAAGAAGAAGTGTTGAATTGTAAAATTTAATTTAGCAACTTCTAGAATAAAAATGAAATAAAAAATTATAACAAAAATTTAAATGAATGGATGGAAGATGGTTGGTGGAGTTATCAGAAAATAGTTATTTAGAAACTCTCCAAAATAGCTTGAATAATTATTATGAATAACTAAAAGAAAAAAAACCAGAATCACAAAAACGAGGCGGTTCAATTTACTAATTACATTACTACTAAATTTTTTTGAATTGTAGTGTAATGGGTAATAAATAGTAATGCAATGAGTTATAAATAGCATGCTTGCAATAAGGTGTAAAAAGAAACACATAGTATAATGCAAAGGAACAAACAAATTCACTTGTCTCTACTACCTACACTACTAAAAAATCCCAAATAATTTCTTTAAAAATCATATCCAAACTTTCCTTTTACATGACAAAACCGATTACTATTTTTTTCTATTATAAAAACTAATTCCTCAATAAATCCAAAATTCATTATGATTGAAATGCTCACATTAATCGGGTGTGTTGATGATTCTATGACAGCTCGCCTATTGTTTTAGCTTGATAATTTGGTATAGTGTGATTAGCTTTCTTTGCCGTTAAAAATGTTGTTCAATTGATAATGGACAAGTGGTGTCAAACGATGACCTGACTTGGCGGTTATTTCTTACTAAGAATTATTTTCGTGTTGTATGACTGCAACTAAAGCTATGAAACTCTTAACAATGATCCTCACAGTTTGTCCAAATTAGATCTAGACCTTCTGAAGTACGCTAATATACTATTCTAATCTTTTCTCTCATCTAATTAAGAATGGATATGGTGTGCATCATGGTGCGACAATGTTGTCAAATCCAAGGCAAAGACTATTCATCTTTTTAGCAACTATATGGTAAAGGAACCAAAGCTCTAGGGTTTAAGAGAATTATTTCCAGTGGGTAGATTTTTGACTTGGAAGCAAGAAGATCTACTTCAAAAATCCCGGGAGAAGAATTCGAATGTGAAGAGAAGGTTGTAGCCTCATTCCAACCTGAGCCCCATATCTCTCAACCACAAATAGACCTGGAATCCAGGTTAGAGATGCGAAGAGAACATAAAAATATGGAATTCACCGGAGAAAAAAATAATAGGGAGTTAGGTCTAGATAGAATAACGAGATGTAACATATGGACCAAAGCAATCGAGATCATAAAACAATCAGAGACTCACTTTATATTGAGAGGCGGAGCTCTTATCCCCAAAGATTTTTTGGGTATAAGGCTCACTGAACTCTAGAATTTGGAGTATGTTTATCGTGGTCGAGAGAGAAGAAGGGGATCTTTATCAGGATAAATTGTGCATCATCGCCCATTTAATTGGGTCCTCGTGTGCTTGCGCACATTTTAGGAAAAAATTTCCCTTTCCATTCATTGTTCTTCTTGTGTAGCCCTTGTTTCAATTTGTAAGTTTTTACAATTTTTGGCTAGGGGTGGTATTCAGTCCTCTAGTTAAACTAGACCAGATTAACCTACTTCAGTCGTTTGAGTTTCAATGAAAATAGAAACCATAAATCATACTATTTCTTAAATGGTTTTAATCAAAACTAGACCAAATAATTATGAGTCATTTCGATTTAAAAAACTGGCATAACTCGAATTCTCCCCAAAATGAAAAGAAGACTTCACAGCTTTCTATTGTGACTTGGCAAACATTTTGTTTTTACCTTTTTGGCAAAACAGACAACAAAGTCTTGAACATTTTAATTATTAAGTTTCATTCAACCTTTCATCTTCCACACCCTGATTACATTTCACATATCCCACTCTTTCAAACAACCAAAAAGGAAAATAAAAGAGAAAATTCAACAACAAAAAGGCAACCATGTATAGAACTACTTATTCTTAAAAGAAATATAAAATACTAATTAGTAATAAGCGAGAGGTCCTACTAATTTCAAGTTTTATGTATCCCTTCCCATATCGACCTTACTTCTATTCATCCCTCCCCTTTCTCTTTTCGTTATAGAAGAAGATAAAGAGCAAGAAAGCTGAGAAGGCACTGAAACATATGGAGATGATATCGAAGGTGGCGTGGCGGCCACTGATTGCTTCCACCTGGAACAAATTTGTGGCCTTTTTCGCATCTGTGGTCTCCCCGTACCCGACTTCTGCACCTTCAGTGTCGTAAGCGTAGACACGCACAAAGTACGTGGCCGTCGGGGTGTCCCTCTCCACTGTCCAGTCGACGTTGTCGTTCATTGCGTAAGGCTTGGCCAAGATTTTGAATTGGCAGGTCTGGTCTTTGTTGAGATGGTCCTCGGTCTTCCTCCATGGCCGGTCCTCCTGGCTCACCGGTGCGTAGCACAACTTCACCTTGATGTCGTTGTACTTGTCGTCTACCCCAACAGGTAGGCTCTTGTTCAATCCCCAAGTGATCTTAATTTTGTCCTCTCCTCCCTTCAGAACTGAAAACCATCCAAAAAGTAAATCAAGCTGTTGGAGAAAGAAATTGAAGTGTTTAAATTAATTTAAACATAGTAATGTAATCTTCTTCCATCAAAGTGTCGATCTTGACTATCAACATATTAATTAATATATGGATTGACTTAATTACCTTGATTTGGAGTTGGGGATGCAGTGACAATGAATGTTTTAGGGAGGGTAGAAAAGAGACCAGAGGCATGAGCGGCGGAGGACATGAAAGAGGCGAGAATAACAACAGAAGATAGAAAGAGAAGTAGAGGCACCACCGTGGATGCCATGGGATGCAAGTTCTTTTTTATTTCTTCTTTTGCTTTAAGGAGAGGAGAAGAAACTTTGATGGAAGGGATTTGCTTGCCCAGAAGACTTACTTATACCCCTGTTGCAGGTCTCGAGGTGGGATAATTGAAAAAAATGGGAAGGCAATTATTTTATGACATATTTTTATTTATTAAGGTGGAAAAATGGGAAGCCAATCATATTGGATGTGATTCTTATTTATTAAGGTGGAAAAATTAGGGTTATGACTCATGTATATGTGTAGTAGTTGTGATATATTTTTATTCTTCAACGCCTTAAAGTATCAAATTGTATATGTGCACAACAGGAAGTCACTTCTTGCAATGAAGGTACCAACATTTAATTTGCTGGCTCCTAACCCTTTTACGATACTTTCATATTTCTGAATGATTCATTGTTAATTTATCCTTCTTATATAGACTATCCGACAAAACATTTGTGGGGCAATTAGTTTATAGATAAGAATCATGATGTGGGGATAACGAAACATCATGCGCGTTTGTAAAAAGAAAAAGAATGAAGAGATAAATTGAAAATGCTGGACTCGTAACATCTAGAACTCTGATATATATATATATATATATATATATATATATATATAGAGAGAGAGAGAGAGAGAGAGAGAGAGAGATAGTATGTGTTATCTTAACTAGTGGATGGATATGTATAAATAGATGAGACAAATAACATGTTCCATAATTTGTGGTAATTTTTTTTTTGGAGTTATTACCTATTCAAGAGTGCAATAATTGTTTATAACCTAACTTTGTGAGTTTTTTATATAAATATAGAGTAAAAAGGTGTAAGATGGACAAATGACATGTTGAATGGATTGTGGTAAAATAAAATTCTAAATTTCCTCCTTACCCGCGATTAAGTGATTAGAGATTAAGTTTTGCTCTTCAAAAATATCACTAGTCTATCAAATTTCAGTAGTCTATCAAATTTTAGTAGTCCCTTCAATGCTTTGCACCTTAATAGATAAAATTTCAGCAGTCCCATCTTTGCAAAAGTCCACGTTCAACCCCAACATTTCCCCTAATGCTTACCGTTGTTGCTTCTCCAAAACACAAAAGTCTTCTTCCTACGCACTTGTTAAAGGTGACAGAGACCAAAAATCCTCCATCATGGTGGATAAGAGGGGTAGTGGCTAAGTTCTCGTCCATTCAAAATCGAAGGTCAGCACGTAAGTGTATGTTGTGGTTGCTTCGAGCTATTCTATCCAATGAGTATGTTACTTGCGTTCAACGAGTTCTCTTACTTTCCATCAATCTATCTCCAACTAATTTCTACTTTTATTTATTTTTTACTTTTTATGTTTAATTTTTTTTATAAGAGGCGTAGTGGCTAAGTTCTCATTTTTTAAGAATTTATATACTTTGGATATTTTATTTGTTTATAAGGATAACGTAAACTTTTGTCATAGCTGACGTGTAGTGGGTTTGTGGCGTTATGTAAGTTTTCCACATATAGCTCACCTTTTCTAATTTAAGAGTGAAAAGTTTCCACTTTGCATAAGAAATAGGAGGGGGGGGGGGGCGAATTGTATAGGGGGTGTTAATTGTTGTTTGAGATAAAAAGCAAGGGGATACAAAATCAAGTGTAAAATATCAATTCTAATATAATAAAAAATTACAAAAAAAATAAATAAACGCAACCATTAATGAACCTTCATATCCTTCCTTCCTTTCTTTTCATTCACTTCTCACTCTCAAGCCCCACCTCCTTCCCCCTCCTTTTCTTTCCCTTTTCTTTTGCTTTGAACACCAAATTGAGGTAAATCAGAACAACGATTTTATTCTTGGCTGCACATCTTCATTCCTTTTCAAAGATCAAAATAAAGCAAACAAGTGGAAAGTTCTTGGAACTCTCATTTGCCCTTATTATTTATGACTCACCCATTTTCTCCCCATCTAAACAAAGTGTTTAGCTTTAAAACCTTTTACCCGAACTTTGAAACATTTTCTTGAAATTTTATCAATCCATAAATTTATTTTCACACATTCTTCAAATGGTTTGAAAAATAAAATATATGTATATGTATAAGTGAATCAACATAAATCATAATAAATATTTGTGAAAATACGAATTAGAGAAGTTTTTATTTTTTGTTGTTGTTGCAACGTGTGGGAGAAGAAACATTTTCCTTGCCAAAAAAGTATTTGTTAAGTTCAGTAATAATTGATAGTTTCTACACTTCACCCATCGAGGGACATCCGAATGTCTGACTGAGTCTTGCTAGGAATTCCCAATTCCCAATTTCCCTTTTTCCGTTTTCAGACTACACAATTTGAGCTTCGACTGTGGGACTTTCCGACATAGCCACCAATCTCCGTTGTCTTTCTTCCGACAATCTTCTCTTCTCTTCCCTCTCGTCTCCCGCGTTTCTTTGAGGAGGCCAAATATGAGCGAATTTTTGGAAAATATATGAAAAGGAAGCGCCATTGCTAAGTTTTGTGATTGGTGCGAATATGACAAAGTCGATGTTTCGGAAAACTTGAATTGCAGAGTAGTGCCCTAATAATCCCAGCTGACTTGCATTGTTTTTCAGTGGAGCTATGTCGCAGATTCATTCCCTTATGGGGGTAGGACATCCAACGAAATAAAAAAATTTTGAAATGAAGAGATATATTGGATATGTTGGACTCGTAAAGTCCAAGACTCTGATATATATCAAGAGAAAAAATATGAGTTATCTTAAAAAGTGGGTGGATATGTATAAAGAGATGAGACAAATAACATGTTCAAGCAGGTAATGAGTTTCTCCAAATTTTGATCGATCTATCCTCAGCCGAGTTCTCCTTTCTTTTTATATTTAATTTTACGGTAAGAGAAGTGTAGTGGCTAAGTCTTCCCTTTTTTTATTAATTTGGATACTTTAGATATTACGTCTCTTTAGGAAAGATAACGAGAACTTTTGTTGTAGCAGATGTTTAGTGGGTTTGTGTTGATGAAATTTTTTTTAAGGTTTTTATCGATATGAAGAGTAAAACTTTTGTCCGAACATTAAAACTTTTTCCCTATATTTCTTGGAAGCTTAGATTCGGCCTATTGGTCAATTTTGATTTAGACTTACTGTTTATTGTTCAATTTCAGACTCTATTTCATTTATTGGAGTATGGTAGTTAGAAAACATGTTAAACTATAAATGTCTAATCTTTTTGGGCGACAGAAATGGCAACCTATGCGCCATTTTTCATCAAGGAAGTCATTTTTCATGAATATGTGGTCGACGCTCCATGCGGGTCATGAATTGGTTGCACGGGTTAAACTAACTAACCCATCTTGAGCCAACTATAACTCAATATGACATTGTCAGTATAGTGGTTGAACAAGGTCGTATTCCACGGGTCTCGATATTCTAGGCTACTTCTCACTCGATCTTTATGTAGTCGATCGAGTTTTCGGGTTATTTGGAGAAAAAATGGAAATAAATGGCAACGAAAGGAGAAAAAAGCAGGTACTCAATGTATCACCCTCACCCTAGCTACTACGCCTATCATGCAAAAGGATAACTTTTGGTTTTCTAGGTAAGATTACAGTTTACATGTAGGTTTTCTTTTGGTTTTCTATTTTAAAAATTGGATTATGATATTGGCTTTATGTCTCCTACTCATTGGCTCCCAAAGAAGCCAATTTTGGGATCTCGAGCTAGCTGAGTTGGTTGTGACTAGGCAGGCACTTGTTGGGCCCAATCTATGGGCTGAGTTGGGCAATGTAATTGAGGTCAAACATTGGGCTGAAAGTGGGCTTGTACAGTCTTCAGATTGGGATGATTGTGGACTTTGATTCTGGGTCTCACTTGGGCTTGAACTTGGATCTCGAATTTGTCCTTCAACTTGGATTTTATTTATCTTGAAGTTGGGCGAGCTGATTTCCCCCCATGTAGCAGGCCTTTTGCCAAGTGATGGGCAGGCCTTGATTCTTCATTTGTAGATAGAAAAATTTTGATCTCTTCAAATTGTATTTGAGGATTACATATATGTAAATTAGAAGTCTTTTTTCTATGCTTGAAACACTTTGTTGTGAAGCTTGATGATTGTGTCGATTTTCTAATTCGTTATGGCTATTCTTCTCTAGTTTTCCATTGAACGTTGAACAAAAATCCTCTGACATAATTTTTGAACCATGAAGTGTCGTGTTGTTACTTAATTTTGTCATCATTAGCAAGTAATCATTATTTGAGTCCAAGCTCACTCTGCAACATTTTCGAATTGATGGTGACGTTTGATGTCTTCATGATATGTCTCAGACCCGAACAAAATGTGGTGTCTACAACACCCAATGTGAAACTTTATCTTTTCTCTACAATGTAGATGTTGTAGCTTTTAGTTTCTGGAGCTGGCAGCGAACCTCCATAGGAATAGAGTAATTTAACTTAGTTTTCTCATGCATAAAAAACATCAAACACTCTCGTTCGAACATTGTTTGTAGTTCAAGGAGTCAAGGTGCAAATCATTAATATCAAAAGCTAAAGTTTCCTCGCAGGAAAACAAATTGGCAGACCTGGTGGGACACTTTGTGTTTGATTTTATGACTCCACTATAAAGACAACTAGAAGTGGATCTTCTGCCAATCTTGACGGAGGAGTAGGGTTGCTAACTATGGAGTTGGCCATGTAGAAAAAGGTAACGTAAAAAACAATGGTGGGGCAGAAGGTCAACCACCACCAATGCCATGTGTGGATATAACTGTCGCCCCCTTGTCTCTACATCAATTATTGATGGAAGAACAAAATCTTATGGAGGAGGCTTCGACAGGGTACATAAAAAAACAATGTCTCAGATTAATTTTTTCCTTTCTTTCCTAAATCATTGTTGGATCAATTGAATGAGATGTTTGCGGTAAATAAAAATAATTTTGAGGAGTTTTTGCAAAAAACAGTGTTAAGATCAAAGGTTTTGGTTGGTGATGATAT